CAACAACAACAACCACAGCAGCCCCAGAAACAACAACCACAGCAGCCCCAGAAACCACCACAGCAGCTCCAACAACAACCACAACTGCTCCAACAATCACAGCTGCTCCTACAACAACCACAACTGCTCCAACAACAACAGCTGCTCCTACAACCATGTCAACAGCTCCAACAACTACCACTGCAGCTCCAATAACCACAGCTGCTCCCACAACCATAACAGTAGCTTCAACAACAACAAAAGCAGCGCCTGCAACAACAACAGCCGATCCAACTACAACCACAGCTGCTCCTACAACCACGTCAGCAGCTCCAATAACCACCACAGCTGCTCCAACAACCAAAGCTGCTCGAACAACCACAGCTGCTCCAACAGCCACAACAGCCGCTCCAACAACAACCACAACTGCTCCTACAACCACTACAACAGCTCCAACAAAAACCAATGCAGCTCCAACAACAACAACAACAGCAGCCCCAGAAACCACCACAGCAGCTCCAACAACAACCACAACTGCTCCGGCCACAACCACAGCTGGTCCAACAACAACCACAGCTGCTCCTACAACCACGTCAGCTGCTCCAACAACAACTACAGCTGCTCCAACAGCCACAGCAGCTTCAACAACAACCACATCAGCTCCAACAACCACAGCTGATCCAACAAGTACAGCTGCTCCAGCAACAACCATTGAATTTCCAATGACAACAACAGCATCTCCAACAACAACAGCATTTCCAACAACAACAGCAGCAGCTCCAACAACAACCACAGCCGCTCCAACAACCACGACAGCTCCTACAAAAACAGCAGTTCACACAACAACCACAGCAGCTCCAACAACCACCACTACAGCTCAATCAACAACCACAGCTGCTCCAAGCACAACCACATTAGATCCAATAACATCCACAGCTGCTCCAACAACAACCAAAGCAGGTCTTACAACCACTACAGCAGCTCCAACAACCACAGCTGCTCTAACAACGATGACAGCAGCTCCAACCACAACCACAGCTGCTCAAACTACAACCATAGCTGCTTCAACTACAACAACAGCTGCTCCTAGAACTATAACAGCAGCTCCAACCACAACCACAGCTGTTCCAAATACATCCACAGCGGCTCCAACAACGACAGCTGCTCCCACAACTATGACAGTAGCTTCAACACCAACAACCACAGCTGATCCAACACCAACGACAGCTGCTCCACTTAAAACAGCTGCTCCATCAACAACAGCTGTTCCTACAACCACGACAGCAGCTCCAACAATGTCAACAGCAGCTCCAAAAACCACCACAGCTGCTCCAAATACAACAACAGCTGCTCCAACAACCACAGCTGCTCCAACAACAACAGCCACTGCAGCTCCAACCACAACAACAGCTGCTCCTACACCAACAGCAGCTCCAACAACAACAACAGCAGCTCCAACAACAACCACAGCTGCTCCAACAACCATAAAAGCAGTTCAAACAACAATTATATTGGCTCCAACAACAACAACAACAACAGCAGCTCCAACAACAACCACAGCAGCTCAAACAACAACCACAGCTGCTCCAACAACCACAGCTCCAACAACAACCACAGCTGCTCCAACACCAACAAAAGCTGCTCCAACAACCACAGCTGCTCCAACAGCCACAACAGCCGCTCCAACAACAACCACAACTGCTCCTACAACCACTACAACAGCTCCAACAAAAACCAATGCAGCTCCAACAACAACAACAACAGCAGCCCCAGAAACCACCACAGCAGCTCCAACAACAACCACAACTGCTCCGGCCACAACCACAGCTGGTCCAACAACAACCACAGCTGCTCCTACAACCACGTCAGCTGCTCCAACAACAACTACAGCTGCTCCAACAGCCACAGCAGCTTCAACAACAACCACATCAGCTCCAACAACCACAGCTGATCCAACAAGTACAGCTGCTCCAGCAACAACCATTGAATTTCCAATGACAACAACAGCATCTCCAACAACAACAGCATTTCCAACAACAACAGCAGTAGCTACAACAACAACCACAGCATCTCGAACAAAAACCACACCCACTCCAACAACAACCACGGCCTCTCCAACAACAACAGCAGCAGCTCCAACAACAACCACAGCCGCTCCAACAACCACGACAGCTCCTACAAAAACAGCAGTTCACACAACAACCACAGCAGCTCCAACAACCACCACTACAGCTCAATCAACAACCACAGCTGCTCCAAGCACAACCACATTAGATCCAATAACATCCACAGCTGCTCCAACAACAACCAAAGCAGGTCTTACAACCACTACAGCAGCTCCAACAACCACAGCTGCTCTAACAACGATGACAGCAGCTCCAACCACAACCACAGCTGCTCAAACTACAACCATAGCTGCTTCAACTACAACAACAGCTGCTCCTAGAACTATAACAGCAGCTCCAACCACAACCACAGCTGTTCCAAATACATCCACAGCGGCTCCAACAACGACAGCTGCTCCCACAACTATGACAGTAGCTTCAACACCAACAACCACAGCTGATCCAACACCAACGACAGCTGCTCCACTTAAAACAGCTGCTCCATCAACAACAGCTGTTCCTACAACCACGACAGCAGCTCCAACAATGTCAACAGCAGCTCCAAAAACCACCACAGCTGCTCCAAATACAACAACAGCTGCTCCAACAACCACAGCTGCTCCAACAACAACAGCCACTGCAGCTCCAACCACAACAACAGCTGCTCCTACACCAACAGCAGCTCCAACAACAACAACAGCAGCTCCAACAACAACCACAGCTGCTCCAACAACCATAAAAGCAGTTCAAACAACAATTATATTGGCTCCAACAACAACAACAACAACAACAGCAGCTCCAACAACAACCACAGCAGCTCAAACAACAACCACAGCTGCTCCAACAACCACAGCTCCAACAACAACCACAGCTGCTCCAACACCAACAACAGCTGCTCCAACAACCACAGCTGTTCCAACAACCACAACAGCAGCTCCTACAACCACAACAGCAGCTCAAACAACAACAACAGCTCAAACAACAACCACAGCTGCTCCAACAACGACTACTGCAGCTCCCACAATGACGACAGCAGCTCCAACAACAACAGCTGCTCCAACTACCACAGCTGCTCCAACAACAACCACAGCTGCTCCAACCACAGCCGCTACAAAAACAACAGCAGCTCCAACAACAACCACAGCTACTCCAACAACAACCACGGCCTCTGCAACAATAACGGCAGCAGCTCCAACAACAACCAAAGCAGCTCCAACAATGACCTCAAGTACTCCAACAACAACCACAGCTGCTATAACAACCACAGCTGAAGCTCCAACAACAACCACAGCTTCTACAACAACAACCACAGCAACAACAACCACAGCTGCTCCAACAACCACCACTGAAGCTCCAACAACAACCACAGCAACAACAACCACAACAGCAGCTCTAACAACAACTACAGCAGCTCCAACAACAACAGCAGCAGCTCCAACAACGACTACAAGTGCTCAATCAACAACCACATTATCTCCAACAACAACAGCAGGAGCTCCAACAACAACAGCAGGTCAAAAAACCTCCACAGATGATCCAACAACACCATCTCCAACAACAAACACAGCCACTACAACAATAACAGCAGCAGCTCCAAAAACAAAAGCTGCTCCGACAACCACGTCAGAAGCTCCAACAACAACCACTGCAGCTCCAACAACAACTACAGCTGCACCAACAACCACCACTGCAGCTCCAAAAACCACCACTCTAGCTCCAACAACAACCACAGCCAATAAAACAACAACCACAGCTACTCCTACAACCACAACAGAAGCTCCAACAACAACAGCTTCTCCAACACCAACCACAGCTGCGACAATAAACACAGCTGCTCCAACAACAACCACAGCCGCGCCAACAACAACCACAGCTGCTCCAACAACAACTACAGCAACAACATCCACAGCTGCTCCAACCACAGCTGTTCCAACTACCACCACTGCAGCTCAAACAACAACCACAGCTGCTCCAACAACATCCACAGCTGCATCAACAACAACCACAGCCGCCCGAACAACAACCACAATTGCTCAAACAACCACCACTGCAGCTCCAACAACGACCACAACTTCTCCAACAACAACCACAGCTGCACAAACAACAACCACTGCTGCTCCAACAACAACCACAGCTGCACCAACAACAACCACAGCTTCTAAGCTTCTACAACAACAACCACAGCAGCAACAACCACAGCTGCTCCAACAACCACCACTGAAGCTCCAACAACAACCACAGCAACAACAACCACAACAGCAGCTCTAACAACAACTACAGCAGCTCCAACAACAACAGCAGCAGCTCCAACAACGACTACAAGTGCTCAATCAACAACCACATTATCTCCAACAACAACAGCAGGAGCTCCAACAACAGCAGGTCAAAAAACCTCCACAGATGATCCAACAACAGCAGGTCAAAAAACCTCCACAGATGATCCAACAACACCATCTCCAACAACAAACACAGCCACTACAACAATAACAGCAGCAGCTCCAAAAACAAAAGCTGCTCCTACAACCACGTCAGAAGCTCCAACAACAACCACTGCAGCTCCAACAACAACTACAGCTGCACCAACAACCACCACTGCAGCTCCAAAAACCACCACTCTAGCTCCAACAACAACCACAGCCAATAAAACAACAACCACAGCTACTCCTACAACCACAACAGAAGCTCCAACAACAACAGCTTCTCCAACACCAACCACAGCTGCGACAATAAACACAGCTGCTCCAACAACAACCACAGCCGCGCCAACAACAACCACAGCTGCTCCAACAATGACAACTGCATCAACAACCACAGCTCCAACAACAACTACAGCAACAACATCCACAGCTGCTCCAACCACAGCTGTTCCAACTACCACCACTGCAGCTCAAACAACAACCACAGCTGCTCCAACAACATCCACAGCTGCATCAACAACAACCACAGCCGCCCGAACAACAACCACAATTGCTCAAACAACCACCACTGCAGCTCCAACAACGACCACAACTTCTCCAACAACAACCACAGCTGCACAAACAACAACCACTGCTGCTCCAACAACAACCACAGCTGCACCAACAACAACAACAGCTGACACAACAACCACAGCCAGTCCAACAACAACCACAACCGCTCCAACAACAACTTCTGCTGCAGCGGCAACAACCACAGCTGCTCCAACAACAACCACAGCTGTTTCAACAACCACCACTGCAGCTCCAACAACAACAGCTCCTCCAATAACAATCACAGCTGCTCCAACAACAACCACAACTGCTCCAACAACAACCAAAGCAACAACAACCACAGCTGCTCCAACAATGACAACTGCATCAACAACCACAGCTCCAACAACAACAACAGCCACAGCTGCTCCAACAACCACCACTGCAGCTCCAACCACAGCTGCTCCAACAATGACAACTGCATCAACAACCACAGCTCCAACAACAACTACAGCAACAACATCCACAGCTGCTCCAACCACAGCTGTTCCAACTACCACCACTGCAGCTCAAACAACAACCACAGCTGCTCCAACAACATCCACAGCTGCATCAACAACAACCACAGCCGCCCGAACAACAACCACAATTGCTCAAACAACCACCACTGCAGCTCCAACAACGACCACAACTTCTCCAACAACAACCACAGCTGCACAAACAACAACCACTGCTGCTCCAACAACAACCACAGCTGCACCAACAACAACAACAGCTGACACAACAACCACAGCCAGTCCAACAACAACCACAACCGCTCCAACAACAACTTCTGCTGCAGCGGCAACAACCACAGCTGCTCCAACAACAACCACAGCTGTTTCAACAACCACCACTGCAGCTCCAACAACAACAGCTCCTCCAATAACAATCACAGCTGCTCCAACAACAACCACAACTGCTCCAACAACAACCAAAGCAACAACAACCACAGCTGCTCCAACAATGACAACTGCATCAACAACCACAGCTCCAACAACAACAACAGCCACAGCTGCTCCAACAACCACCACTGCAGCTCCAACCACAGCTGCTCCAACTACCACCACAGCAGCTCAAATAACGACCACAGCTGCTCGAACAACATCCACAGCTGCACCAACAACAACCACAGCTGTTCCATCTACAACCACAGCTGCTCCAACAACCACAGCTGCTCCTACAACTATGACAGCAACTCCAACAACAACAACAACCACAACAGCTCCAACACCAACCATAGCTGCTCAAACAACAACCACAGCTGCTCAAACAACAACCACAGCTGCTCCAAAAACAACAACAGCAGCTCAAACAACAACCACAGCCACTCCAACAACAACCACAGCTGCTCCAACACCAACCACTGCAGCTCATACAATGTCGACGACAGCTCAAACAATAACCACTGCTGCTCGAACAAGGACTGCAATTCCAACAACCACAGCCGTTCCAATCTCAACCACAGCTGCTCCAACAACCACATCTTCTCCAACAACCACACCAGCCCCACAAACCACCACAGCAGCTCCAACAACTGCAGCTCAAACAACAACAACAGCTGTTCCAACCACATCCACAATTGATCCAAAAACCACAGCTGCTCCAACAACCACAGAAGCTCCGACAGCCACAACAACATCTCCTACACAAACCACAGCTGCTCCAACATCCACAGCTGATCCTACAACCACGACAGCAGCTCCAACAACAACCACAGCTTCTCCAACACCAACCACAGCTGCGACAATAAAGACAGCCACTCCAAGAACAACCACAGCCGCTCTAACAACGACCACAACCACTCCAACAACAACCACAACCGCTTCAACAACAACTTCTGCTGCATCAACAACCACCACTTCAGCTCAAACAACAACCACATTTTCTCCAACAACAACCACAGCTGTACAAACAACAACCACAGCTGCGACAACAACCACTGCAGCTACAACAACCACTACTGCTCCAACAACAAGCACTGCAGCTCCAATAACAACCACAGCTGCACCAACAACAACTACAGCTGCTCCAACTACTATGTTAGCAGCAACAACAACCATAGTAGCCCCACAAACCACCACAACAGTTTCAACAACAACCACAGCCGCTCCAACAACCACCACTGCAGCTCCAACAACCACCACTGCAGCTCCAACAACAACAACAGCTGCTCCAACAACAACCACTGCAGCTCCAACAACTACCACTGCAGATCCAAAAACAACTACATCCGCACCAAAAACGACGACAGCTGCTCCAACAACCACACCTGCTCCTACAACCACGACAGCAGCTCCGACAAAAACCACAGCTGCTCCAACAACCACAACAGCAGCTCCAACAACAATCACAGCTGCTCATACAACAACAACAACATTAGCTCAAACAACCACCACAGTTGCTCCAACAACAAGAACAGCAGCAGCTCCAACAACGACCAAAAGTGCTCCAACAATAACCACTGCTACTCCATCAATAACAACAGCATCTCCAACAAAAACCATAGCCGATCCAACAACTACCACGGCCTCTCCAACAACCACAGCTGCTCCTTCAAGTATAACAACAGCTCCATCAGGAACAACCACAGCTGCTCCAATAACATCCACTGCAGCTCCAACAATGACGACAGCTGCTCCAACAACCACCACTGCAGCTCTAACAATAACCACAGCTGTTCTAACAACAACAGCCACTCCAACAACGACGACAGCTGCTCAAACAACAACAACAGCTGTTCCAACCACATCCACGATTGATCCAAAAACCACAGCTGCTCCAACAACCACAGCAGCTCCTACAGCCACAACAACATCTCCAACACAAACCACAGCTGCTCCAATAACATCCACTGCAGCTCCAACAATGACGACAGCTGCTCAAACAACCACAGCTGCTCCAACAAAAATCACAGCTGTTCCAACACCCACCACTGCAGCTCCAACAACAACAACAGCTCCTCCAATAACAACCACAGCTGCTCAAACAACAACCACAACTGCTCCAACAAACAACCACAGCAAC